GACAATGAAAAGACTGCACATTATCTGTATGACACATAAACACATGTACCCATTATGAGACTGGACTCACAGATACACTGTTGGTCTGTTAAAAAATGACAATGCCATTGCGATGAACAGACTATTCAAACACATACTGTATATGTGTGTGTGTTACATTATGTCTCTATCAAGTATATTTATATAGCGCTTTTCACAATATAGATTGCATCAAAGCAGCTTCACAGTATCAATCAAAACATAATAACAATGTTCGTTTCTTAGTGGAAAAACATCCACGTTTGGTAGAGCTGATCAATGGTATTAATGATTGGTTAATTAATTTGAATATCCCCAACTGAGCAAGCCAAAGGCAACAGTGGCAAGGAACCGAAAAACTCCATCAAGTGACCCGATGGTGTCCTAAAACTCCATCAGGGACCCAATGGAGAAGAAAAAAACCTTGGGAGAACCCAGGCTCAGTGGGGGCCAGTTCTCCTCTGGCGTTTATGAACTAGAGGCCGGATTTACAGTAACTGCAAGGTAAAAATGTATATGAATGTCTCTAAACAGACTTTAAACGTGAACCTGTGATTAACGCTGATGGCGTTCACATGCGCATTAAGAATTGATTCTATAGTTATGTGCGTTTGAATATATGTGCGTAGGTTTGTATTTCCCTAGAAAACCATGCCTGAACAAATTACTTGTCTATAAATTTGATACATAATTTTGTTTTATTTTATCACTTCGGGGTAGGTACGCGAAACTAGATTCACAACGCTTTATCTGTAGAGTTTATTGTTTATTGTTTATTATTTAGATCCCCATTAGCTACTCCATTAAGCAGCAGCTATTCTTCCTGGGGTCTTAACAATTTTTCAACAAAATATTAACATCAAGGCTGTACAACAATGAAGACAAATACAGAAGTGCACACAACATCATTTAAGATATCTAATTAGTGGGAAAGGGATCTCTATCACGTATTTTTACTGTCTCATGTAAAATGCAAGTAGACTCCACTGTAATACAGTAAGTCTACAGCTTATGGTGAACAGTACAGTATAGTGAACACTGTCTGATTACACGCATGTTCTGTCTATAAAGACTTGAATGTTTGAGGACACACACGGTTGTTCTCCCAACATTCAGCTCAGCTTTCAACCCGCCTCGGCCATGAGGTCATGAACATGATCTACAATATTGGCCCCTATTTCTTCAGAAACCTACAATCTCTCTGTTTTACCTCTGTATCCTTCCACCACACATCCTTACTCCTCCTCTTCTTCTTCTCGGCTGTTACCCTGTTGTTCTTCCATTCTCAGAGTGTGTATGTGTTGTGCTCTGTCTATATGGCTTCCAGAGGAAGCTTCATGAGATGCACTCTGAGCGATTATAGAGAACTGGTGATCATTGATTGATCTAATGCTTTACATTCCCCTTCATTAGTGAAATTCAAAATTCACATCTGCAATTCAGGACAAAAAAAGTATAATAGAATTGTATAGAAAATATGTTTGACAGTTTATGACAACTAGTAATTTAATGCCTATATGTTTTGAGGGGTAAGACTATTCAACAGAGAACCAGTATAATACATTTTGATCAACATGACATAAGCAATTGATAATGTAAGAAACAGCAGACACTTACATTTATTGCATGAATGTACCAAAGCATTTGCAATTTGTTCAAAAGAATGATAAACTGCTTTCATGATGTGCACAAGTGACTAGATGATGTGGAGGTTGAACAAGAATTTTAGTTGTGATTTGAGAAATGCACCAAAGCGCCTTAAAAAAACGTATGTAATTAGTGTAAACATTTAATTAATATAATAATATAATATGAGAATGTTTCATGCAGCTGCTCTCCTCTATATAATATAATATAAAATAATATAATATATACTACAAAGAGAATGTTTGCTGTAACTGCTCTCCTCTTTATATAATATAAAATAATACAATGCAATATAATATAATAAGAATAATGTTTGCTGTAACTGCTCTCCTCAATATAATATAATATAATATAATATAATATAATATATAAAGAAAAAAGTTAGCTTGTTTGCTGTAGTGAATGTGTTGCTGTGGTAACTGGTAACGGAGTCCTGTCCTGCTCGTGCGGGGGGTGGGGGAGGGGCGGTGGCCACTCAGGGAAATCACTGATATTATGAGAGGAAACGGCAGAACGCAAAGTAGGAGAAAACACTTCAAACAAATAAAATCACTCATAAAAGCAAGCGATTTAGCATGTTTTCACATCTTTTGGTGGCTTGTGTGTTTTTATTAAACAAACTTGGATGAATAAATCATCACATCCATATTGACAGATTTAAACAGCTGTTCCTCCGCTTTTGGAAGAAAATATGTACTTTGTAAATTCACATGACGTAATGTCTCTGTCTCTTCCCCGCTTCAAACTCGTTCCTACATGATTAATAAACTCCTATGTAAGTTACTGTACAGCTGTATAGTCTCGGTGACGCGCAGCAGCGCGATCTTCACACACACATAACGTTACACAGAGCAGACTCCGATGCGAGAGCAAAACTGCGAGGATTAAAGTTTAATAACATGCCCATATACATCGTGAGAGCTCCTGCTGCTCAGGGTAAATTAGTCTATTTTTATTTAAATAATAATTATTGCGAATTTATCTATTATTGAATGTGGATTATCTGTCAATTCATTCATAATAATGATATCGCCTCCGCTCCGCCATTTTTGTTGATGACGTGATGGCCTCAGATTGGTCAGATCATTAAGTCCCGCTCTCATAGTGGCTTCCTGCGCTCTGATTGGTCAGAATCCCCGAAGTGTGTATCTTTTCCGGAAGTGCAGTACTCCTAGAGGGCGCTGTGTTATACACACTTTAGTGGGGGGGCATACACACTTCACATACACAAATCACTTAAAACTGATTTTTTGGGACAAGTGAGATTTTAAGTCTGGACACCATTTTAGAGTATGCTGAATGCCATTATATAGTCAAACAAATGAGGACATACAAAATGTCCTCAATTTTTGAGGTGGTCCTCAGTTTACTGGTGTGTATCCTGGTGAATGTACCCAAAAGGGACATAAACAAACACACACACACACACACACACACACACACACACACACACACACACACCCCTGAACCGGCCCATCACACACACACACGCACACACACACACTAACACTACCCTAAACCTACCCATCACATACACACACACACACACACACACACACACACACACAACCCCTGAACCGGCCCATCACACACACACACACACACACACGCACGCACACACACACACGCCAATTTTATCATCTCTACACTGGTTACCTATCAAGTTCCGTATCAATTACAAAGTACTATTACTGACCTATAAAGCCCTAAATGGTTTAGCTCCTGTGTATTTAATGGACCTTCTATCGCACTACAATCCATCGCGTTCTTTAAGATCACTAAATTCGAGGCTTCTAGTCATTCCTAGGATATCTAAGTCCACTAAAGGAGGGAGGGCGTTCTCACATTTAGCTCCTAAACTCTGGAATAGCCTTCCTGATATTGTTCGAGGCTCTGACTCGCTGTCCCAGTTTAAAACTAGATTAAAGACGCATCTTTTTAGCCAAGCATTTACATAATGCTTACCTTTTATTATACTGCTGAATCAGGTCAAATGCATTTAATACTATAAAACTTGAAGAGACTGTAGGTTATCTGTATAGGTTGCATAGTATTTGCAGTCATTACGTTCCTGTGTATATTGCGTGAATGACGGGTGGTTGGGCAGATATTGTGTTGCGGTAGGTGGTATGCCATACGGAACCGTTGTCCACTGAAACTGCCTATTCACGCACCAGTGGGGCTCGACAGCCTTAGTCAACAGGTTGGCGCGTATGGTTGGGTTGCGGAGAGATTGTGAGATTGTGGTTAGGTCTCAGCAGCAGGAGGGACGTAGAGGTCAGTAAGCTGGGCTGAGTTGAGTGGGGGACGGAGGGGGGTGATTTTGGGACGCAAGAGTCACTGTATTCATGTTTTGTCTTTTACGCCTGTGTTATGGAAATCATCATTATGAACAGCAGCTACGCTAATTATTTTCCCTTTGCTTTTCTGCTGTTATCTCGGGACGCGAGTCCCGAGAAAATGGCGTTCGTCAGCTCCAGTTTGTATCCAGCCTCTCACGGAGACTTCAGATGCTCCAATCACAAAGCCTATGAAGTGACGACTTAACACGGGCGATATGGACTCTCTATGGTGGACGGCACTGATCCTCAACAACTCGTCTTAAGACCGGCGTGCATACTTGGACTTCCAAAAAATACTCTAAATGTTCCGATCCAATCTGACTTGTAATGCTGCCCGAATCATGCACTGTTCCTTCGTTGGCCAGAGGAGAACTGGCCCCCCGACTGAGTCTGGTTTCTCCCAAGGTTTTTTTCTCCATTCTGTCCCTGATGGAGTTTTGGTTCCTTGCCACTGTTGCCTTGGCTTTTGGCTTGCTTAGTTGGGGACATTTAACATTTAATATTCAATAATATTATTGATCTGCCTTACTTAAGGTGGACGTTGACGCAATTTCTTTTAGAAACAAACTTTGTTATATTGTTATATTGTTTTTGTTATATTGTTTTCATGTTATCACTGTGAAGCGCTTTGATACAATCTGTATTGTAAAAAGCGCTATATAAATAAAGGTGACTTGACTTGACTTGACACGCACTAACCCTACCATCACAGAAAACTTTATGCATTTTTAGATTTTTAATAAAAAACTGTTAAGTATGTTTTTAAAGTCATTTGAAATACGAGGACTCATAAATCACATTCACGCTGTAATACTAGTGGCAGTGTAATACCAGTGTAATACCAGTGTAATACCAGTGTAATACCAATGTCATTATACAAATTTCTGTCCTCATAAATCACAAAAACAAACACACACACACACACACACACACATACAGTGATTCGGTGTATTTGTGTTTATACGAGTGTGAAAGAGTGTACATGTTTGTTACCTCGAACTTGCACCATCTTCACCACGTTACCCACGTACTCGTACATCAGAACCAGGTTGCATTGTGGGATATCGATGCCTTCATCAGCGACTGACGTGGCGATGAGTATCTTACTCTGATCTGAGCTCTTGAACGAGTCCAAAACACCCTTCTTATTGGTCGGAGTCATCACTGTAGCACAAATTATTCACACTTCAATAAGGAAAACGCTCAAGAGTCTATGATTTGACCATTACTACAGTGATTATTATATATTGTTATGTTTGGCTACAGTTCTAACCCTAATTGATCGAGTGTGTAGCTTTTCATTATTATTATGTTTCTATCCAGTTAGAAGTTTGGCAACAGTTCATGGTTGTTTAAGAAATGAAAAGCAAAACTACTCGATCGATTAGGGTTAGAAGTGTTGCAGTCCTAAGATGAAGTACTAAAGTAACTTAATAAAAGCCACATTGACATATTGAAAAAACACAACAAAAATGACTAAAACTTGAACTAAAATTCAAATTAAAACAGAAAATATAAAATAAAAATAATATCCATGATTTAGTAAACAAAACACTTAATACTAATACTTTAATACATTTTAATACATTGAGCTGGCTTATTTTAATACATTTTAATACTAAAAAGGGTCAAATTTTTATTATTATGATACAAATTTTGATTTTGATTTAAAATGCAAATTTTTAATAAAGAAAAAAAGGGCTGCACAATTTGGCCAGAAAATTGTGATTATTTATCAATGAGAATATAAAAAAAATACTAATAATTGTACTGTAAAATTACTGTTATTACCAAATATTAAATTATAAAATATATTAAATTAAAATATTCAACAAAATAAGAAATATCATAATGTATTATAATAATAATTATTTTATTTTATAGTACAACTCTAAGGTTACAATACTAATATTTTATTCACTCTTAATTTCTTCATTTTCAAACATATCATCTGGCTTTATTTTGGAGGTTTTTATAAGTTTGAGCTGCTTATTTTGTCTATATTTCACTTTTTTATTTATAAAAATTTAGTTTTATTATATATATATATATATATATATACTGTATATACAGTGTGTGTGTGTGTGTGTGTTTAATTCCCACCTGAGCCGGGAAAGTTGGATTTTCGTCCTTTTCCTATCAGGACTCCAGGCATCAGGAACTTCAGGGAATCTGTGTCATCAATCCATTTCTTCATGGCCTTATATATGTGTAAACACACACACACACACACACATGAATCAGACATCACAAGGCACACCACAAATTTTTTTCGGGAACACTTTACAATAAGGTTCATTAGTTAACATAAACTAAGAATGAACAATACTTCTTCAGCATTTATTAATCTAAGTTAATATTAATTTCAACATTTACTAATACGTTATTAAAATCAAAGGTTGTATTTGTTAACATTAGTTAATGCACTGTGAACTAACATGAACAGCTGCATTTTAACTAACATTAATAAAGATTAATACATACTGTAACAAATGCATTGCTCGTTGTTAGTTCATGTTAATTAATACATTAACTAATGTTAACTAATGAACCTTATTGTAAAGTGTTACCTTTTCTTTCTAAGGCATGTTTATTAAAGCTACGGTAACACTAAAGTTTACAATAAGGTTCATTAGTTAACATTAGTTGATGTATTAATTGTCGATGTCAAATGTCGAAATTAATATTAACTAAGTATTGGTCATTCTTAGTTGATGTTAACTAAGGTACTTAACTAATGTTAACTAATGAACCTTATTGTAAAGTGTCACCAAAGCTACTTAAATATCCTAAAGCCTAATCCTGGCTTAATCTAAGCCCTCTCTGTGAAACCAGTTGCACAAACTTAAACAACTAATTTGACTAACTAGAAATCACTCAAGAGGTGATCAGTCTTACTTTTCTGATTCAAATTACAACTTTTTATGTGGCCAGTTCTTATAAACTTATAAAAAGTTAGCCATCTAATCTAATTCTTCAAGACTGGTTCTAACATTTTAAAGTCAGATACACCAAAAGGCAGAACCGTCTCGTCTCGTCTTACTGCTAGTTCTTAACACACAGTCTTAACAAAGTAGCTAAGTTTATGCACCTGGCCCGTCTTCAAGAACAAAAATGAGAAGACTAACTTTTAAGACTAACTAACTTGAATTTATTCAATTATAAGTTTATGCAACATTATTTGCAGGAGTCACAAAACTTAGCCACGTTTATCCACAGATATTGATGTATCCGACTTTTAAAATGTTATAACCAGTCTTGAAGAATTAGATTAGACGGCTAACTTTTAAGACTAGTCTAAGAAGGTTTATTTTACTCACGTCGGCGAGGGCTCGGGTCCTGACGAACAGGACGGTGCGCGTCTGATCGTTGTTGTGATATTCTTCCTCCAGGATGAACCTCAGCTCCTCTAGTTTGGGGTTCTGCTGCCCCTCAGTGGCCAAAACCAGCAACTGCGGGCGCTGACCTGCATCAGGGACACACACACACTCTC